CTGCATAGGGCGAAGCCATGCACAGGGAGGGGACAAAGATTTACCCCCAGGCCACAAGCGAAATCATTTTGCAGCATGGAACTTGGCATAGTTTTGTTTTTTTACTGTGGTCCCAGAACCCCTTTCTCCTCTGCCTCAGGGACTGTGTGCTGCATTTGACTGGAGTGTTCCACTGCCAGGCAACTGTGTGGGCCCTGCTGCTGAGGCCTTGGTGGTCTCTCTGCAGAGATTCTGCTTCCCTTGCACCTATGGGACTATTTCAGCCTAGATAAGGTGGGTCAGACTGCCAGGGACAAGGCATGTTTTCTGCCATCCTTGTTTCTCATTCTGTAAGCCTTGGAAAGACCTTGAGCAAATGACTCCACCACTGCACACTTGGTTGTTTCATCTGCAAAATGGGAATGACTGTAGAAATGGGGAGGCTTCGCTGAGATGACACATGTAGTGCTCTGACACCTAGTAAAGACTTAGTGAAATGAGTTCAGTTTTTTCAGTCGAATGGATTGTGTCTAGGCCTGGGGGAAGCTGATGGTTATTACAGTAGCTGTGACACCACTGGCTGGCCGCCTTAAATATATATAGAGCAGTTGGGCTACAATAGCCTTGGTTTTTCTGCCCTTATATCCTCATGGGTGATGGAGGGTGGAGCCTGGGGAGGACAGTGACTTGTCCAATCTGGATGGACATGTCTAGAAACTGGGAAGTTCATTCTAAGCAGTGTTCAGCCCAGACTGAATCCCAGACCATGGGTTTTTTCTTTCTTTTTCTTTTTTTCCCTCTCTCTGTCTCTGAAGGACATCATTTGGACAATTGGCAAGAGTTGAATAAAGTATGTAGATGAGATGATAGTGTTGTTATCAATGTGAACTTCCTGATTAGGCAAATAAACTGGTAATGTAAGAAAATGTCTTTTTTAGGAGATGTATGCTGAAGTATTTAGAGGTAAGGGGGTATCTTGTGTAACTTAGTCTTAAATGTTCAGAGAATAAACTACATGGGGAGAGAGAAAGGACAGATTAAATGTTAACATTTGGGGTATTTAGGTGGATGGAATCCATTTTACTCTCGAACATGTCAGTAGGGCTAAAATTATTTAAAAAACAAAACAAAACAAAAAACACCTCATCTCAGGGTGCCTGGCTGGCTCAGTTGGTAGAGCATGAGACTCCTGATCTCAGGGCCATGAGTTCAAGTTCCACGTTGGGCATAGAGCCTACATCAAACAAACAAACCAGCCCTCATCTGGTTAGGGCTCACATGAAATGATCGCACTTGGGTGTCCGAGTCATTGCAAAATAGACCCATGATCAAGATGATGTTTCTAGTGACTCCAACCCTTGTGTGGTAGTAGGGCATTCGTGTGAAAGGGTGGGGGTACAGTGGCCCCTAGGAGTGGAGTGGGAAAGGCCATCTGAGTGAGGAAAGGAGGAGAGGGTGGATAAACTGAGAAAGAAGTAGCCTGCGAACGTGATACCTTTCTACCAGAAACGGAGGGCAGTGGTGTGGGTAGAGAATAGGAGAATTAGCTCTAACTTGGGCCTTGGAGAGTGAAACTGTAGGAGAACCAGGCAGGTTCTTTCTGATGTACAGGGTAGTGGATGGGTAGGTGAGAAGATCCTAGAAGGGTGCCTAGGACCACATGGTGCTTTAAGACTAGTCAGACTTGAAGGGTGGGGTGTAGAATATGGGCTCCGAGGTGCCCTTGAACCCAGGGCAAAGAACCTGTGTGATTTACACAACTAGCATCTCCTGGAGTGCCACATCACAGTAGACACCTTGGGAGTGGGTTGTCACAGAACAGGAGGAACCCCTGGCATGAGACTTGAGGCTGAATCCTCGTCAGGTCCATGGAGATGGCAGCAGGAAGCTGTTGCAGCCTGTGGAGTCTGTTGTGAGGCCTGGTGGTGTGCAGACCCCCCTACTTCAAGTTTATCCACTCCACAGTGCTACTTTATTTGAAAATAGCACACGAATGGTTCTTGTTGCAAAAGATTCAAACCAAACAGAAGGAACATGCCAGTGGCCTCCTCCAGCCCCACCCCTGTCCCATCCCAGAAGTAACAGGTGTGGACAGCTCCTTATGGTCCCTCTTCAGATCTCTGCGGTGTCATGTTTGCAGAAGGGTTGGGCTTATGGGCTCTGGAGCCAGACTTCCTGGGTTCACACAACCACTCCACTACCTACAAACTTTGTAACTTTGGGCACGTTACCTACCCTCATCGAAGCCGGCATTCCCTCATCTGTACAATGAGATTAATCATACAGACCAAATAGGTGTGTTGTGGACACTAAGTGAGTTGGCACATGAAAAGTATCTAGAACAGGGCCTGGCATGTAGTAACTGTTCGAGAAATGTTCGTTGCCCTCATCTATTGACATAATAAAGACCTATTTTTTGGTGGTTGTTAAAAAACAAGTCCTATTCTATTTTCATCACTAGGGTTCTTAGTTACAAGCAGCAGCTCTCAGCTGGCTGAGAGCAGTGGAGAAGGAATTTCTTTCAAAGACATCAGGGTGCTTCCCAGACTTGCTGAGGAGGCTATGGGCTCAGTCTGTGGAGACCAGGCAGCAGCCCAGACCACGGCCACCATTATGCCACAAAACCGGACTGATGCCACTGCTACAGTTAATGTGCTGGCATGTGGCCCCCAGGGTGTGGGGGGTGGACCCTGTCTCCCACCAGGACTTGAAGGGGGCAAGGATTCCTAGATATGGGGAGGGGGATTCAGATGCCAGGGGCCCAGCGTCTCCCCGAATAGTGTATTATTTGCCTGAGCTGCTGGAGTCCATGGAGACCCACCTACATCTCAGTCTTTTTCACGGTTGTATAGTATTCCCAAAATGGACTTGACTTATTCCTGCACTCCTGTAGTGCTGAACTTGTAGGCTGTTGATGCTTCTTGCCCTATCCCACCATGTCCCACTGAACACACTTGTTACATATATCTTGACAGCAAAGTGGTTCTTCTGTTGGATAGATTCTTAGAGATGAAAAAGTATACATGTATTTTCGTTATTGTTCAAGGTAACATTTCTTACATTCTGTGGACATCAAAAGACATTTTGAATACAAGTAAAAATTGTGGTAAGGAGACCTGGGTGGCTCAGTGATTGAGTATCTGCTTTTGGCTCGTGATGTGATCCCAGGATTTAGGGATCAAGTCCCACATCAGGCTCCCTGCAGGGAACATGCTTCTCTCTCTGCCTGTGTCTCTACCTCTCTCTGTGTCTCTCATGAATAAAGAAATAAGTCTTAAAAAAAAGTTGTGGTAAAATACACATAACATAAAATTTACTCTCTTAGCCTCTCATAAGTGTGTAGTTAAATACCACCCTACAATGTGTAGCCATCACCACCATCTGTCTCCAGGACTTTTTTCGTCTTCCCAATCAGAAATTCTTTCCCCAGTGAACAGCTTCCTATTCCTCCTCCCCATGGCAACTCCCTTTCTACTTTGTGTCTTTATGAATTTGGCTGTCAAGCAGTTGTTATAGTTTTATCACAAAAGTCATCCACATGGGAGTGATTGCTGGAGGGCTAAGGGATGATTTTGATTTGAGAACGTGAGCATCTTTGAAGAGGGTGGGAGTGAGAAGCAGAGACACCACCCTCGGTAATAGTTCAGATTTTTTGAGCACTTCCAGTGTGCCTGGCTTCCTGCCCCGCTCGTGTAGTGCTTCCTGCTGCAGCCATGCCCCACAATCGCCACCATCGGAACTTTGACAATCGGGATGTCTGGGCCAGGTCTGGTGATGGGCCTCATTATCAGGACTTCATAAGGCTCCAAGTGATTTCAGTGTGCAGGCGTGGTCAAGAACCCCTGCTCTAGAAGATAACTGCACTTAGTCAACACCCCCATCTGGGACAGGGATTAGGATTATTACTAATTTACTGATAGAAAACCAGGTCTGAGACAGTATTACACAGCCAGGAAGGCAGTTCCTGTTGTTACCCTCTCTCCTGAGATGATTTCCACTCACCTGCCCCCATGCTGAATGAGGCCCCCTGTTCTTTCTCCTTCATAATGCTAGAAACACTGTGTGATGATGTATTTGCCTGTTTCGATTCCCCAGTTGCTGGCATGCAATAAGTTAGAGATGAATGAATGGGAAGAAAGCAGTGCACACACAGGTGGAAAGTCAAGAGAATTCCCTGCTCTCACTCTGATAGGGCATAAGAACAGATATGAAAGTGACCTGTTTTTCAGAGGCAGGTGAGGGGCTTGGACCAGTTGGCTGTGATCTTGCTCAGACTTAGAGTCACCTTCTGAAAGTGGGGAATGACAGGCAGTAGGGCTGAGTGACATGGGCTAGAAGGTCAGAGGGAGGTGAGGTGGGATGCCCTAGCAGGACCTGGGTGCAGGGCTGGGTTGAATCTGCCCCAGCTTGTGCAAGCAGACACCCTCAGCCAGAGAGCCCTGGAAGGTTATCAGGTGATTTCCAAGTCTCTGCCCTGGGTCAGTGCTTTGGGGGTTTCTCAAATGTTGAGCTTGATTTTTTTAAAATTTATTTATTTATTTATTTATTTATTTATTTATTTATTTATTTATTTATTTATTTATTTATTTATGATAGTCCACAGAGAGAGAGAGAGAGAGGCAGAGACACAGGCAGAGGGAGAAGCAGGCTCCATGCACTGGGAGCCCGACGTGGGATTTGATCCCGGGTCTCCAGGATCGCGTCCTGGGCCAAAGGCAGGCGCTAAACTGCTGCGCCACCCAGGGATCCCGATTTTTTTTTTTTAAATTCTCTTTTCACCGTGTAAAAATGTGCAACCAAAATAAAATATGACCAATTAAATAACCCACATTTCAACATACTAGAGACTAATGATGCTGCCAAAATACCCCACATTGGGGCAGAGAAGTCCCCTGCCTATGTCTGTGTTGGAATTCTTATAATAAGTGTGGTATTGGTTAGGAAGCTTGTAGCGATACCTCAGGTGTGTTAAATATTCAGGCATGCGTAGTCTCCTCTCATGCCTTTTTGCAGGTACTCACCCATGCTCTTGGTGGGCCTGGCTTGGGGTATCTTCATAGCTCAGTGGCCAGTTTAATAACATATGATGTGTCACTTTGTGGAAGTGTCTCATGATGGGTGGTTTCATTGCAGGGTTTAGATGCATCTTGTTTGAATTCTGTATTTGTGATAAAGAAACAAGCAAGGCAGGTTCAGGGTATGGAGCCTGGGCATGATTCCCAGCTCTACCACGTGCTACCTGTGTGGCCTTGGGTAAGTCACCTAACCTCTCTGTGCCTCCTTTTTGTCATCTATTAAATGATAATATCACGAGTTTATATAAGTGCAGGTAAAGTGCTTAGAACAGTGTCTAGCAAATAATAATTATCATCTAAGAATTTTCTGTTGTTTCTAGTCTTGCTGTCATTCTAATGATTGCCCTCTGACACCAAAATAGTCTACCACTATTTCAAGCCTTGGACAGATTGAACTCATGCATTCTCAACCAGACTAATATTGCCTCCAAGGGGACAAAAAATTCTAGCTATGGTAGTGGTGCACGGCCCTCCAGAGGGTCACTGCACTTAAAGAAATACACAGTGTGGGACACCTGGGTGGCTCAGTGGTTGAGCGTTTGCCTTTGGCTCAGTGCATGATCCTGGAGTCCTGGGATCGAGTCCCACATCAGGCTCCCTTCATGGAGCCTGCTTCTCCCTCTGCCTATGTTTCTGCCTCTCTCCCTCTCTCCCTCTCTCCCTCCCTCTCTCTCTCTCTCTCTCTGTGTGTGTGTTTCTCATGAACAAATAAAATCTTTTTTTTAAAAAAAGAAATACACAGCGTATCTATGGTATTAAAATTTCACGGAGGGGGAGAGCACAATAGACAAAAATGTCTACCAAGGTGGGGGCAATAATGAAGGAAAGGTTGAGAAACCCTGATTTAACGAAAGACTCTCCTAAGATCACAAGGCATTCTCCTGAAAGCCTGTTAGCATTTGCTACCACTTACCTGTGGAAATCAAGATTTTTCCCAGTTCTCTGCAATTAAATACAAAATTCAGTAAAAAAGTACAATATGATGTGGCTTTTACAAGACAACGCTCCTCTACAGCTGTGGATTTCAGGGTGCGCTGCGAAACACCTTTGTCCTTCTCATTGACTTATCTGATTCTTATGTTCAGGATTTGTGTGCTCGTACAACAAGAGTTTCCTCTGCTGAGGGTTTGAGCAGCCCCCCGTCGTGAGTCCTGGCAGGTTAGGTGGCAGGTAAGGGCTCTGCTTGGGAGCCTGCCTGTGGCCGGGTGGGGGCAGGGGGGGTGGTGCCCCCCCCCCCCGGCTCCTTGGAGAGGCAAGTGCCGCGTGAGCACCGGGCATGGTCGCCGACGTGCAGGGTGGTGGGCAGAGGTCCTGGCACGAGGTGAGGCCATCCACGGGACTCCTCAGAAAAGTTCGGGCCCCGTGTTCAGCGTGATGAAAGACAAAGACCCTCTTTATTGCCACCGAGGTGTGTGGGGGGCTGAAACCCCCAGATGGGGTACAAGCCTGAAAACCAAAGCAAGTTGACCAGCAACCTTAGGTTACAGTCACGTGGCCTATTACTCCTGAATTTCCCATTTGGGGTTTTATTAGCTTGTAGTCAAAGGCGACATTGTGAAGAAACTCAGATTAGAATTCCACTCATAAAACAGCTGGGAGAGGGAGAGTGGGATGGAGAAGCCAGGGAATGGCACAGAGGGGTCACTCCCCCAAATCAGAACCCCAACAAGCGCCATCTGTGGGTGTTCCTGGCTGGTAGTGAAGGAGCTGCGAGCCCGAGCCCCGGGAGAGGTGGAGGTGGCTCCCTCCTTTCTGCTCTCAGGCTGGAGGGTCCTCTGATCTAGGAAGAAGTTCCCACGGCCAGTGCTGGGTTGGGGCCCCGACAGCCTCCCACAAACATACTAATGAACAGCACGCACCGGCCATGACTTTGCCAATTGGAAACAGCTTTGGGGCCCCAACACGAGTGTGGAGCCTAATGCAGACCTGATGGGGGGTTCACCAGCTTCTGGGAATATAATGAATATCAGATAAGCAGTGTTCCAGATAAGTGAACACTTGGGGGTAGCTTACCTGAGATGAGGAGGTGAAATGAACCTCTTCTTTCCAGCCCCGGAAGGAGAAGAGGTTTGTTTGGGGGAGGCCAGGTGGCGGGCCGTAGAGGGGTGATTCCATTTGACCAAGTCAGAAGGTGAAGACGGTGGCCTTGAGGGTTTGCAGTTTTCCCAGACTAAGGCTTCATCCCTGCCGCCTGCTGCCTGTCCCTGCCACCCGTGCCCAGTGGCTGTTCCTACTGGTTCAAGTTGGAGTCCCAAGGACAAAATTGTAATCCGATCCCCACCCCAACTCTGGTGACCTTGGTATGTGTCTTAGACATTTTGTACTTCAAATTTTTGGTCTATAAAATGGCAACCTGCTGATCTTTTCTTTTCTTTTCTTTTTTTTTTCAATGTGAGAGAGACAATAAAATAAAATCCCTGTTCTAGCAGCCAGAAACTGCAAGCCATTTAAAATTTTGTCTGTCTCATGTTTATGAGAAAGGATAAAATAACAGATATCTAAACCAACACTAGGGACCCTTTTAAAAGCTCAAATTCTAGGGCAGAAGTTCTCAGTTCTGGCTCCATATTAGCATTAACTTTGTGTGTGTGTGTGTTTTAAGATTCTACTTATTTATTTGAGAGAGAGACGCAGGGGGAGTGGCAGGCAGAGGGAGAGGGACAAGAAGGCTGTCCACTGAGCAGTGAGCCCGATGTGGAGCTTGATCTCAGGATCGCAGGATCATGACCTGAGCCAAAGGCAGACACTTCACTGACTGAACCACCCAAGCATCAACTATGTTTTTATTTTTTATTTATTTATTTTTTTTCAAATGTGTTTTTAAAAGTTCTCTCTGAGTGATTCTTCTAATGGGCAGCCAGGGTTAGGACCCATCGTTTGGGGTATGCCAGTTAGATGTAAAGATTTCAGGCTTTATTTCCAGAAATGCTGGGCCAGCTCATTTTTCCTTTTCTTTCTTTCTGTTATGGCTTAAAAATTTTATTTATTTATTTATTTAATTGAGATATAATTCACATAATATAAAATTCACTCCTTTATGAAAGCGAACAATTCAGTGGTTTTAGTACACTCACAGAATTGTGCAGTCATCACCACCACTTCGCTCCAGAACATTTTTATCATCCCCAAAAGAAACTCTTACCTGTTAGCATTCCCTCTCTCTCATCTTCTTTCCCCAACTCTGGTGACCACTAATCTACTTTTTGTCTCCGTGGAGTTGCCAATTCTGAACATTTCATATAAATGGAGTCACACAATGCATGCCCTTCTTCTAGCCCTACAACACTGAACCTGCCTTGTTAGTAGCCCTTTTATCCCTGAGACCTTTTATGTTTGTTTGTTTTTTTAATTTTTTTAAATTTTTTTTTAATTTATGATAGTCACACACACACACACACACACACACAGGCAGAGACATAGGCAGAGGGAGAAGCAGGCTCCATGCACCGGGAGCCCGACGTGGGATTCGATCCTGGGTCTCCAGGATCGCGCCCTGAGCCAAAGGCAGGCGCTAAACCACTGCGCCACCCAGGGATCCCTTATGTTTGTTTTTGACCAGACAGGCTTTGCAGTCCTCTTTGGCCCTGTGGGCTGTGTGACCTCAGAATGTGTCATTGGGTTAGTGGTTTTGTGCCAAGTTCAGATTCTGATAGAAGATGGTTAAGGTATTAATGCAAAACCTCTATGAACAATCTTGGTTTTGCTTCCGTTTTAGGGACCAAACAATAATCTCTCTTACTGATTAACGCACTTAATAACTGCCAAGTCCTGGGCTTCTGCATGGGTATTCTTCATAAGTTACTGTTGCATTTAATTTCTGAAAAAGTCAGTTCCAGAGCCTTTAATCCTTCAGCTAGCATGTGGCAGATATTGGATTGAGAGCGGGATTTATGGTAAATCAGACTAGCAAAATCTTGGCCAACTGAGGCCCTTTCATCTCATTAAACTTGTTTTATTTTTTAAAATATTTTATTTATTTATTCATGAGAGACACAGAGAGGCAGAGACCTAGAGAGAGAAGGAGGCTCCATGCAGGGAGCCCAATGTGGGACTGGATCCGGGGACCCCAGGATCACGTTCCGGGCCGAAGGGAGGCGCTAAACCTCTGAGCCACCCAGGGATCCCCTCATTAAACTTGTTTTAAAGGAACTTTATGAGCTGAGAACTGTTCTTGGTGCTGGGGATCCAGAGATAATGCCTCACTTCAAGGAGCTTATAATTCAGTAAGGAGGCCTTAATTTATCTTACACAACATAAAATGGTTGCATGTATTATAATTTTAGTAGGCGAAAATAAACCCAGAACACAATCTGATGTAAGATATTTTGTTCTGGCAGAAAAGAAAACACAGACTTTTAAAGATTTGTCTTCAAGACAATATACATTAAATCAGTCTCCTGACGATAAACAATTGCTCCGCTCTCCAGTCAGTGAGGCCATATGGCGGCAGCCCTGGTGGTGGCTCAGCGGTTTAGCGCCGCCTTCAGCCCAGGGTGTGATCCTGGAGTCCCAGGATTGATTCTGATGTCGGGCTCCCTGCAGGGAGCCTGCTTCTTCCTCTGCCTGTGTCTCTGCCCCTCTCTCTGTGTCTCTCATGAATAAATAAATAAAGTCTTAAAAAAAAAAAAGAAATGCCTCATGGAGTGACAGTGTGAAGGAGCTGCATGGTATTCTATCACCAAAAAAATGCGTTGGCTACGTTGATAACTCATACCAAGGTTTTTCTCAGATATTTAAGAAGCATCCTCACTGATGCAGAAACAAATGGGGATTTCAACCTGTATTTTAAAATTAATTTTAGTACTCTTTTATAATTAGTATGCGAAGAAACATTTCAGGATTGTTTATTCCTTGCTTCTGTAAATCTAGTAAGCAGAGTTGACGCTCCATCATCACTGGTTGATGCAGGTCCAGGTTACCACCTGCCTGCCTGCCTGCCATGTGCATAGCACTTTGGTGATAAGAGGCCAGGTATGGTCTGATTCCTTGTCTCCTCTGCCATTTTCTTCCTCACTCATAGTCACCAAGCTCTTCCCACCTTGGACCTTCCCTTGTGCTTCCCGTTCACCCCATTCTTCCATCTGGATAACCCCCTCTCAGCCTCCATGTCCCTTCCTCTGGAGGACTTCCCTGGCCCCCTAATCTTAAATAGCTCTTACCTTTTTCTTTCTTATAACTCCTACCTATTCTGCTCAAGCACTTGTCTCAAACATACACCCATCTTATCAGGTATTTTGTATATACACATCTGCCACGTATCTGTCTCTCCGAGAGCAAAAACCATGTCTAGTCTCTACTTCCATTTACAGAACATCCATCATGGCATCTAGATCATGGCTGGCAGTTATTAAATGGGTAGGTATCTGGGTGAATGGGTGGCCTGATGGGCAGATTGGCAGGTGGATGGGTTTCTTGCCCAAACAGCCACTTGAGTGCAATGACGAGGCAGGCATTTTCAAGGTACTGGGCATGTAGCAATGAATAAAATGTCAGTTCTCCACTTGCTTACTTTCTGGATGAGGGGAGAGACAGTGAACAAATACACAGTGTGTCAGGTGGTGATAAAGAAAATAAAGCAGAGGGAGGCACATGGAGAGTGAAGGTCAGGATGCCTTGCACGTGAGTGTCAGGAAAGGTCTCACAGAAGTGAGGTGTTTGAGGAGAGACATGAAGGAAGTGAGGGAGTGAGCCATATCTAAATCATTGCAAAAAGCTAAATTCTTACCATTCCATGTTTTCAGAGTGATTTCTAGGTATGTGTTTATCTTGTCACACAAGCGGTTTTAATTTTGCCACAAGTCTGAAGCTGAATACTCCAGTCCAGTGGGGAGGGAGCCTCTGGAATGATAGGAGCTGCCTTTTTTTGTGGAAGAGATAGTTCCAGAAAGGAAAAAAAAAAAAACTGTTTATGGTCTACTTTTTTTTTTTATCTTCAGTTCATTTTTTATTATCTTGAGGAAGTGACGGATCATAAAATTCTGATCCCCCCCCCTTTTTCCCCTTGGGAGTCAATATGAAATTTATTAAGAGCAAGGTTACTTTTCAAAATATTCTGGGCTAAAAAAAAATGTATTCTGGGCTTTGCAGGTCATTGATTTCTTTTTCCTCCACATCTTTTATAGAATTTTACAGTAGTCATTAAATAACAGGGTCAAATATTTCTCTTAATCTAAAAAGCACCCCCTTAAAACAGTGTCTAGTTATGAGAGTTTTCTCCAGGTGGGACAGATGAATGTATGCATCTAATGAAAAAGCAGGTGAGCCAAGCAGGAAAGGCCTGGATTGTGAATAAGGCCGTAAGGCCCTGGGGGTGGTTCGAGAGTCTAATGTAGAGCCTACTGGGGCATGGAAATGCAGGTGGCATCTTCACCTCCCTTTGCTCAAGAGTGTGAACACAGTTACTATGAGGCCACTGGCACTTGTCCTGTTTGAGTATGTGAATGAGACAGGAGGGCCCTGTTGGATGATCTATCTCCCATAGTTTGAGGGTGGAGGCTGCCATTCCAGGAGTTGCTGGTGGGCCTGCTTCTTTTCCTGTGATCTGCCCATTGCTTGTGGTACTAGAAGGATCTACGTGAATATCTGGAGGGGCTTCTTGGATCAGAAGAGGGAGTGGGGGAGATATGGGAAGGATGCTCAGAGGCATCCAACCTGCAGAACCATCAGGACAGTGATTCTCAAAGTATGGTCTCTGGGCCTCTGCTTCAGAATCCTCCTGGGTGCTTGTGGAGATGCACATACCTCCTCACCCCAAGCTGCTGCATTGAAGGAATGTCTCTGACGGCTGACTCAGGAAGTTGGTCTGGGTAATGGGGAGCAACATCTTTGCCTGGAAACTTAGTTCTGCAATTACCGCATTTTCAAGTTATAAGATGACTTCTTCCACAAAATGTGTCCTACATGCACATTCCCAAGGAGTGCAGTTGAGCAGACAGGGAAGTCAGTTAGAAGGTTCATGAATTAGAAAACTGTCTACCTTCGTTGAAGGGATCTGTCTTTGAGATGTGGATATCTCTTGCTAAGAAAAGACAGCATTTGGGTCTCCATATACCTGAGGTCCTGGAGGTTGAAGGGATATGGAAGGGCCTGTCCTAGGTTGTACCCATGGGGACAGGACATAATCTTCACAGGTCATGTTGATTTCACCAGTTCTTCTTGAGTTCCAGCCCTGTATCAGGCCTCATGGGGGACATTCCCCG